TGTCAGCTCTCTACATTCAAAATATTGTGCACTTTCTTTGCTCTATGTGTAAAAAAAGAAACGAACTGCCAAAAGGACCCCCCCATCCCCTCCCTCCTAAGAAAAAAAAAAAAGAAATATATGCGAGTTCGAGGGTTCAAACTCAGCTGAGTCCGATGTTGTCTTCTTGCAGTTGGTGGGTGTAGATCTAGATCTAGATCTAGATTCTAGGCCTACACGAATTTCCCCATTTGGCTCGGTCCCATCGGAGATGGACGTTAAACTCGGGGGTCCTGCCTCTTGAATAACATTAGAATCTACAGTGTTGCATCATAATACTTTTTAATTAATAACTTCGCCAATTTTAGAACAAACAAAATCGAAACGTTATGTGCAATATATGAGTAAGTTAAAATTGTAGGCTTTAGACCTAGATCTACATTACATAATGCTAATGAGCTAATGCTAGACTACAACAAGCATGACTTCGCGCTGTAAATCTAGATCTAGATCTACCTGGCTGATCGGGTGTCTATCACATCAAATTTTAAATATCATTTCGTCCTGTTAGTAACATCCGGAACACTAATTTAAGCTGAGTATCAGATCCTTCGAGCGTGACAGCTCTAGGCCTATCATATATATATAACATTTTGCATACATTCGCAACCCTGCAAGCAACAGCCTTTTTTTACATCAGAGGATGGCTATCAAAGGCTCTGGGGATTTTTTTAAAGCCCGGCACGTATCCAGAACTAGATCTAGGTGATCGATTACGAGTAGGCTACCTGTATACCTAACTGGACACTGAATGCGTGATGTCAAAGTTACAAAATTGATAACATGTGCCATGATGCTGGCTCGAACAAGAACAGAATGAATGCAATCTAAAATTGTATTCCTTCATTTTTACCGATCGGGTGAAAGGCTCAACAAACGTATACAAACACAATCATGCAGTAAACACCAATCCGAAATCAAGAATGAGATTGAGACGTAGAATCTAGATCTAGATATTAGATCTAGACTAGATCTAGATCTAGATATCTATATCTAGATCTATATCTAGATCTATATCTAGATCTAGATTCTATTCACCCACGACTGAGAACTCTAAGTCTTCTAACTAATCTGGGTCTAGAATCTAGATATAGAATCTAGAATCTAGATCGAGATCGTCTAGAGTCTAGATCTAGAATCTAGAGTCTGAATTTCAAGATCTAGGGCCTAGACTCTACTAGAAATCTAGCAGTGATTTTACAATGATGAGAAGTGGGCGGGGCAATGGAACGTTGTGTAAGTGAAGGCCGAGATAGGCGGTACCATGCGTATATGGATACATAACTAGCCACGTACCTTTGAAAATAATGAAACAAAAATAGTCCTAATGCGAATCGGTTCAACACATTGCTCTCCTTTGGACATTCACTATAAAACGCTACAAATAAAGGTACAGCAAATGAAGGGAACTCCTGTACGATCCATGCGAATTTCACCGGCACAGCTAATCCCCAACCGGATCGTGCATAACGTCCATAAGGAGCAGTCACAGTTTGAAGAGATATCAGCACTGAAAATCCCCAAAACAGAAATATGTATGAGAGAATACTAGTAGCCTTCTCTTCATTTTGCAAAACCAGAGAAATATAGTAATCTAACGTCGACCCAAACATCGCCATGTCGCCACCAACGCCAAGTCCACAACAACTGAACGAAACCCTGAAGAGTGAAGGCAGGAAAAAGTGACAGTCTTTTTGTATCGAAGATCGTAGTAGGCCCGCCTCCCCAGTCACGTGATCTACTGGGGCCCGTTATGGGTTGATATGCCTGGGCTTTGCGATTGCACATCGAAAAGGGGCCCAGTTAGGCGATTCTGAATTAAACTGCTTATTTCTGCATGCTGTCATTTTGAGTTTTGGCAGGCCTACCCTTGTGTTTATTAGAATCCCAAATGAATTCGGTGGCTTGTAAGCTGAGTTAACTCTTAGCTTGATGTTAGCCTTTCTCACTCTTTTTCGGGGAATTGGCCTTGAATTCAACGCCACTGTGCAATAGTTACTGTACTATACTTTTGTATTATAATAAATGATAAAAAGTAATAGGCTAAGTATTATTTTACAATTTACTGTATAAAATAAAATAGGAGATCTCTCATAGCCTAGGCCCTAGAGATCTAGTCATAGAAAATGTATTGTGTTGTGTTAACCACTTGGTTAACCATAATCAATTTATGCGAGATTCGCAAAAAAAAAAAAAGAAGTTTAGAATTAAATTATTTTTAAGTTTCGCAGATCTTTTATATTTTCACGCCTGCTTTTAAAAATGAACTGGGAAAAACAACAACAGCAACAACAACAACAACAAAATACGACAACAAAGCGAACCCCACACAAACAAACAACCAAAAAAAACCCATATATATCTATCTATCTATCTCTCTCTCTCTCTCTCTCTCTCTCTCCACTTGAATGTCCAAACTTTGTTCAACATTTTTGACATCAAAATTAAGCCATTACTTTTGTACGGTTGTGAAGTATGGGGGGTGAAGAAGTATGATAAAATAGAGCAGGTGCACGTTAAATTCTGCAAGGCCGTCCTAAACATTGGTAGAACGTCCGCAAACATTT